TTTTTTTAGGAAAAAATAAATTGTATGTACTGAAAATTTACTAAAAATTTTAATTTTTTTTTTACAAATAATTTTATGGGGAAAAATTTAAAATAAAAATTTTTGGGACAAAAACTTTCTATTGGAAAATTTTTGGGGAAAAACTTTCTACTGAAAATTTTTTGAGGTAATAAATTTTACCGAATTTTTTTTGGGAATCCAAACAAATTTTGCCGAAAGTTTTTGCAAGAGAAAATTTTAACTGTTAGTTTTTTTTTAGTAATTTTTTTTGAAAATTTTTAAGAAAATAAAATTTTACTGAAAATTTTAATGATACCCTGCGAGTGAAAAAAAAAACTTACTGAAAACTCTTGAGGGCAAAAAATTTTTTACTAAAAATTTTAATATATCTCTTTTTTTTACAAATAATTTTATGGGGAAAAATTTTAAATGAAAGTTTTTTGGACAAAAACTTTCTACCGGAAAAATTTTGGGGAAAAACTTTCCTCTAAAAATCCTTTGGGGAAAAACATTGAACTAAAATTTTTTTGGGGAACAACTTTAGAGGAAAAAAATTTTACCGAATTTTTTTTCGGGAAACCAAATAAATTTTGCCGAAAGTTATTGCACGAACAAATTTTTACTGATAATTTCTGATATTTTTTCTAAAACAAAATTTTAATGAAAATTTTTAGGAAAAAAAAGGATTTACTGAAAATTTTTGAAATTGAAAATTTTTTGGGTACAAACTTTCTACTAAAGATTGTTTGGAAAAAAACTTTCTACTGGAGAATTTTTTTGGAAAAACCTTCAATTGAACATATTTGGGCACAAAACTTTCTATTGTCTTTTTTTCTACAAATATTTTTTTTTAATAAAATTACGCGAATTGCAAAATTATAAAAAATAATAAAAATGAATTGGATTGTTGCCGCTTTTTATATTGCAAATTTTAGCATTAATTTCAAAACTGTTTTTCTTTTCAGTATCTCATAGGTGTGTCTGTGTGTAAACTCTATTTCTATATGCAAGTATGTATATGTATTTGCTTCTAAGACTTAAGTAAATACTGTGGGTAGGTTACTGTGTTGCCTTCAAATTTCACCGATTTGCTTTTGTTCTTCTTTTTTTTGTCTCGCTTATGGCTGCATATTCGCTTTGTGGCGCTTATTTGAGTTTTTATTTAATTTTCTTTTATTGAGTTGAATATTTGTAGTTTATAATTGTCTTATTTATTTTTTTTGTTTTATAAATTTTTCTTATTTTCATTTTTTTTGGCTTTTTTATAAAAAGCAATATTAAACACAATAAATTATTTTGCATGCTTATGTGCGCGTGTGTGCGTGCAAAAATGTCTATTTATATGTATGTAAATATGCAACGAATTTATTTATTTATTCTTTCAAACTATAACTTTAATTTATTGTTGTTTTTCTCTTTACTGTGGGTTTAACTACTTATTTATTGTTATTTTTTCCACATTGTTTAACTAGAACTTTTTATTGTTTCTTAGTGTTTGTTGTTGTTTATATTTATTGCTATACGTTTGTGTTTTAATTTTTTCCTTCTTAATATTTAATTTTGTTTTATTTTTTTTTAGTATATATTGCTGCTTCTTGTGCTGGTTGCTAAAAGCTTTAGTTGATGTCTTTTGTTGAAAGTGAAAGTTAGCAGTGGTTTTGTTTTTGGCGAAGAAGGCGGAAAAAGGAGAAAAAGTAGTTCATATAAAAAATTTTAAATAGAATAATAAATAAAAATAAAAAAAAAAAACAAAAAAAAAAAANACGTATAGCAATAAATATAAACAACAACAAACACTAAGAAACAATAAAAAGTTCTAGTTAAACAATGTGGAAAAAATAACAATAAATAAGTAGTTCATATAAAAAATTTTAAATAGAATAATAAATAAAAATAAAAAAAAAAAACAAAAAAAAAAAAAAAAAAAAAAAAAAAAAAAAATTAAAAAAAAAAAAAAAAAAATAAGTAAAAAAGTTAAAATAAAATTTGCTTAATTTTTGTATAAATAAAATTTTATATTTTTTTTGCAATTTACGAGTATATTTTTAATAGTTTTTTTGGTTTTGTTTCAGCGAAAAAGGCGGAAAAAAAGAGAATAAAAATTAAAATAATATGAATATTAAAAAAAAAACTAAAAGAAAAATAAAAGAGATGAAAGTATTAAAAAGCAAAAAAAAGATTCTTAATTTTCTTTTTTTTGGTTTTTGGAAGATAGAGAAAAAAAATTAAAAAGAGGGTTTGAATATAAAAAAGCTAGAAAAAATAAAAAAAAAATTCGAAAAATAAAATTAAAAAAAAAAAAAAACTAATAGAAAGTTAAAATGAAATTTGCTTAATTTTTGTATAAAGAAAACTCAATTTTTTCACAATTTACGAGTATATTTTTAATGGATTTTTTGATTTTGTTTTTAATGAAAAAGGCGGAAAAAGAAGAAAATTAAATAAAAAAATTAAATATTAAAAAACTAAAAAATATTTAAATTATAAAAAAAAATCAATAATAGAAAAAATATAGAAAAGAATAAAAGAATTGCTGATTTCTTGTATAAAAAAACAAAATTTTTTTTTTTTTGCAACTTACGAGTATATTTTTAATAGATTTTTTGGTTTTGCTTTTAGTGAAAAAGGCGGCGAAAAGGAAAATAAATAAATAAAAAAATAAAAAAATTGAATTTTAAAAATATTAAAAGAAAACAAAAAAAAAATTTTAAGTATAAAAAAATTACAAGCAAAATAGAAAAAAAATTTAGAAAAATAAATTGCTTAATTTTTTTATAAGGAAAACTCAATCTTTTTTTGCAATTTACGAGTATATTTTTAATAGATTTTCTGGTTTTGTTTTTAGTGAAAAAGGCGGAAAAGGAAGATCAATAAATAAAAAAATAAAATAATTAAATATTAAAAATATTAAAAGAAAATAAAAATATTTAAGGTATAAAAAAATTACAAAAAAAAAAATAGAAAAAAAATTTAGAAAAATAAATTGCTTAATTTTTGTATAAAGAAAACTCAATCTTTTTTTGCAATTTACGAGTATATTTTTAATAGATTTTCTGGTTTTGTTTTTAGTGAAAAAGGCGGAAAAAGAAAAAAAAAATTTTGATATTAAAAAACCTAAAAAAATAACTAAAAAATATTTAAATTATAAAAAAAAAATAAATATTTAAAAATAAAAAATTGCTGAATTTTTGTATAACCAAAAATCCTATATTTTTTGCAATTTACGAGTATATTTTTAATAGATTTTTTGGTTTTGTTTATAGTGAAAAAGGCGGAAAAAAGAATATAAATAAATAAAAAAGAAAAAATTAACAAATTAAATATTAAAAAAATAAAAATAAATAAAAAAAATCTAATGTATAAAAAAAAAATACGAAGAAAAATAGAAAAACAATATATAAAAAAAATTGCTGAATTTTTGTTTGAATAAAACTCAAATTTTTCTTTCGCAAATAATGAGTATATTTTTAATAGTTTTTGTTTAATTACAGTTAATAAGCCAATTTTAAAACTTAAAAGCAAACTTAGAATTAACAGGGGAAAAGTACAACAGCAAAAATGTTAAAATTAAATTTTGTTTACATATAAGAATATATAATAAATAAAACTACAAATAAAATGTATTATTTTACCTTTTCAATAAGTTATTTGTTAAACATATGTTTTTGTTTATTTTTTTGTTTTATTTTACTTTTTGTTTTCTTTCTTTTCTGGTTTTTGTATAGTTACAGACTTTTTAGTTTTCGAAATCGGTTCGAGTATAGATTTTCTAAATACATACATACAATTGTAATTAATTTGCTTGCTTCGCTTTTAACAATAACTATTTATGCAGTTTTACATATGCATATGCATGCACGTGTGTAAGTACATACTTACATACGGAAGTAAGTAAATAAACAAAAAATGTATTATTTTTATATTTTGTTTTTTTGCTAAATCTTTTTTAAAATGAATTTCAGATATTTACAATATTTTTTTATGTATTTTTTAATTCTTTTATATTTTATAAAATATAAATATGTATATTTATAAAATATGTTTATGTGAGTAGGTATGCATTTATTATGTTTGGCATGCATGCAGTTGTATTTGTTATTATTTTTCTTTCTTATTTTTTTAGTAATCAAACAAAATTAATTTTTTAACGAATTTTCTTTTACCTCGTTTGAATTTAATTTAAATTAATTTTTTTTTATTTGATATTTTAAAAACCAATTTAACACAAATCGTGTTGGCGTGTGTTTGCTGTTTTATATGTTTATTGTTATTTTTAATTTTTTTTTTTGTAAAAATTTTATTTTATTTTAATTTTGTTTTCAACAAGTGCAATTATATTTTTGCCTGTGTGTATGTATGTACATTTATTTGCTTTAGTGTGTGCGTGTGTGTGTTTGTTTTTATGTATTCATACTTAATTAGTATATAAACAATTTACATTTTTGCTGTTGTTATTATTGTTGTTGTTATCGTTAAACAATTGCTTTTATAATGTTAACACTCACTTCATTTTAAAGTCATTTATATTCTTATGATTTTTAATATTTTTCGATTAATAATTTTTTTTTTTAAATTATAGTTTTCTTATAATTTTTAATTTTATTTTACTATAGGATTTATGTTTTCTGTATGATTTTTTCCTTTATAATTAAGTGGCCTAGTAGTGTTTAGTAATAAAGAAAAAATAACATAATTTTGTTTGGAAATTTAATTTTTTATTTTTTTACGCTGTCAACATTTTTTTTTTTGGAAATTATCCATAGAATTTAAGTGGAAGTTTTTATACTTTTACAGTATACGTCCATAATCGTCTGTTTGCCACATAACGAAACCTACAACATATGTACATGTGTATGTATATATCGAATTTCTTAAAAATAATAATAATTATAAGTAAAGGTGTACAGTTAGTCAATTCGTATGCACATTTGTTTTTCTCATTTTCAACATTAAATTTAAATTTTAATTGTAAAATTTTTCGAAATTCAACACACCACACATTTGTAATAAAACGAAGCAATCACCTGCATATGCATTCATAATTGACTGTTAGAGTGAGCGCAGTGTTGCTCAGTGGGTTGACAATTTTCGTTTGCTTGGCATTTTGATTTATACATTTTTTGTGTACAAAATCGTTTTTGAATTTACCAACTTTTACGGAGATTCATTTTCATGTTGAGCCCAAATTACACTCATTTTTTTTTTAATTTAGTATACGCATATACATACAAGTGTATATTTTCGTGCATACATTCAAAAAGTTCCTTACGCCGAAGAGCCGGAGGAAATATAATTTCCACCACTCAAATTAATTGAAATATTATTCTCACTGCCGCCCACCAAACCGGCCGTTAGCTCGTTGGCCTTATGTGTCGGCGAGTGATTTGGTGTCGAGTGACTACTCTTCGGTTTGCGGAACCAATTACCGAGTCGCCGCCGACCGAGCGAACCGGTTTGGCATTCGCTAACATGACCACTGGCGCCAGAGGTGTCGCGTGTTTGTGATTTCTTCGGCAGCGTATCGCTGCTGTAATTATATTTGACAGGTGAGCTTTCGCCACTTGTTGTCACGCTGGCGCCGGCATTCGCTGTGCTCACATCGGCCATCGACCAATGGCGGGTAGAGCCGGAGAGACCACCAACGCCAGCACCACTATTACTACTATTACTATTCTCACAGTCGGGCAGCTCATAGTCCGATTGATCCGAGTAATCGCGTTCATCGTAGGCATACTCAAAGCCGGTCATTTCCGAGACGTAGAACGCTTTACCGCCAAATTGTCGCTCCAAAGCCAAGGTGCTGAGAAAGCGATGCTTGCGATTGGCGGAGCGAAAACTGAAATCATACCACTTGTCGCGCGCCTCACAGTAGATGCGCAACGAATTGCGTATATTATGTCCGAACATTTTGCCATCGCGCACATTCACCACACGACAGCGGTCGAGAAAGATGCGTCCTTTGTAGATGAAATGACTGCGTTTGATGATATCGCGCTTGCAGTAGATCAGCTGGTTGTCGAAGAGGAAAAGCGTACAGCTGGTGTTCCAGAGATTCTGCTTTTGACGTGTTGCATCGATTTGTAGGAAGAAGCGCGTGCTGTGCAAATGCAGTGGTGGTCCTTTGAAATTCTGAAAGCTCGCTTGATGGCGTGCAATTGTTTCGCTGTGTCGTTTACCTGCAGATGAGTGGTGGGTAAAGTGTAATTAGTAAATGTACAAAGGCACATTAGACGCCAACAAACTAACCTTCATTGACCGCTTCCGTGATGCCACGCATTGCCTCCAATGCTAAGTCGATTTTGTCATGTGTGTCGGGTATATCTAATTGACTGACATCAATTTGCTCGTAATGTGCCAAGTCATGTTCAGACGTCTCCTCACACTTCACTGCGCCTTTGAGTATTTCGCTGAGATGCAAGGGATAGCGGCAAATGCGTTGTACGGGCGCCAAGAGGTGAGCGGAGAGTGGAAGTTCAGCGAGATTTTCGGATTCGCGACAGCTGAGGGGCGATAAATTGTATAAGAAATCGTTATACATACATATATGCACAATTATATTGCTGAAAAGGTCGTGATACGGAGCTCCCTTAATTTTTATTGCAAAAGCGAATGTAGTCTTTACAGGGCTGGTGCAGTGGGCTATCCGGCTAAAGGCCTAGCAGTCTATCCAGCTTCACGGAATCAGTATGATAAAATCGGGGTTCAGTGGAAGCAGAAGTCCTCGGCAAGTACTTCAATTTACCTCAGAATACTCCAAAAAATACCCGACATGTATGAGAGGTTACAAGAACAACAACAGCAACAAATAGAACAACATGACTTCCGCAAAGTGCACGGCAGGCCAACTGCACTTAAATATTTAGATAATCCATGGTCTAAACTTTTGTTGTTCGGAGATAAACTGGACGGGAAGAAGGGTGTAAATTACACCGCACTGATTTGAACGCCGGAGGTTAGTGAGCCGTACATGAAGAAACTACAAGAATGTCAGAGCATACTGAGGACCAGTTAATATTTAACCTCACGGCCTTAATGGAGCACCACATAACAGTACTAGTATAGAAGGAGCTAGAGCTAGGACCATTAACTTTCAGCCGGTTCCTGGCCTAACCAGAATCCCATAGCAAATGCAGAGCTCTATCTAGACGACGGGACTTGAGTAATATTGGTACAATTAGGTTTGGATGCTGTATTAAACTCAACTTCTCCCTATACAGACTCGAACTCGATATACTTAACGCGTTCCTTGCAAGCAATGATACGAAACACCTCTTTGAATAACAAAACACCTCAACCTTTTCCCCCCACTCAACTAAGCACCTCTACCTAGACTTGAACTACACGTTTCATGGGTATGCCTTTGGATGACCTCGACCGCATTAACTATTTTTGTCTGATTCTTCATGGAGTTGACCAAGCGGCTAAGCGGCTACAACACCACCAACTAGCCGATCAGAGCTGCGAGACTTTTTTGAGTGAGGGAAAATCAGTATCAAGGCGAAAAAGATTTGTTAAGAACTCATAACGAATTACGAAAAGTTCCAGTTCTGATACTAAGACAGGCAGACCATAATTTCTATACTAGCAAATCCGCAAACTAACCTCTGTTAACGGAAAATATGACTTGATAGATAACTCAATAGAAGATTTGGCAGCGAGTTCATCGGAAAAGCGATAGAAATGTGAACAATAATAGGATTCTTGAGGACAAAACCAAGCTCTGGGGAATCATTTATGCTTGACGAAAATTCCATTCAGTTACTGCGCTTCGTTGAGATCAGAGAAGATCCCAAGCCATTTCAACTGGGAGAAGTTACAGATTAGTTTAATAGATATTTAATGGGACTATAGTCTTAGAGAGGCAGCTATAGAGGTCGAGACTGACGAATACTATTGGAGACTTTTTTATTCTTAAGTGTCCTAAACGCGGCCGTGATATTTGGAATCACTTGTCGAAGAGATGAGTTCTGCAGTTTCCTAAAGACCATAGTTGGCAACGACTATCTAGTAAAAAGTAATCCATTAATTCTGATGTAAAAGATGCTCCACGGTGTGGAAGACCAATTATCCAAAATGTCGAGTCGGGTCATCATGCGAGCACTGCTTTAATGGTTTAAGACCTAAACATTGTTAAAAGAACACTTTGGAACCACTTGAAAATGGCAGGATGCGGAAAAAAGCTCGATGCCATATGAGTTAACGAGAAAAAATCTCACGAACCGAATTTCTACATGCGAATCGCTGCTGCATCGTAACAAAATCGACACATTTCTGAAGCGGGTGTTGACTTGGAAAGAAAAGTAGATCACTTACAGCACCGTCAAACGAAAACGATAGTGGCCGAGAGGGTTTCGCTGTGTGTTTGGTGGGTTTGGCAAGAAATCATTCACAATGAGCTGCTCTACTATGGTCAGCCTTTTAAACTGAACCGGTATTGTTAGCGATTGTTTCATCCAAAGGAAGAAATCACCCAGTCCTGCCCAGTGGCTAACAACATAGAATTTGTGTTTTATGAGTACAACATGAGATCATGTAGACATCGATAAAACCGAGATGGTGTTATTTACCAGGAGATACAAACCGCTTGCGCTTAAACCACCAAAACGAAAGGACGTGGAGATACGTGGAGATTACCCTCTCTCCGAAGTCAAATACCTTGGGCTAATCTTAGATAGCAAACTAAACTGGAGCCGGAACACGGCAGAAAGATCAAGGAAAGCTATAACTGCACTTTATGCCTGTTAAACGACGATAACAAAGAGATGGAGTTTAAGCCCGAGTATCGCGCACTGGATATACACATGGGTATGGGGACACCTTCTGGTGGCCAGCACTCGATATAATCACGTTTAGGAGCAAATTAGAGCGAGATCAACGATCGGCATCCTTCCTGATAACGTGAGCATTGCCATCAACTCCCTCGAGAGCACTGCCAACTGTTCTCAACCTCCTTTCCCTGGATCTATATGCGGGTTGCGAAATTTTTTCTCCTGTGCTCTCAGTAAGTATGTCAGCCTGCAATCAGTTATCTTCTGTGTAACAGTACCACGTCAAAAGTGACCAAAATTGTGTCAACACTTTTAAAAAAACTCTCAATGAAGTACAGTGTCTGGGTACCTGGCCACAGGAACATCAGAGGCAACGGCATGGCAGACGAACTCGCAAGAGAAGGAACCATTCTATCCACAATAAAACATGCACACGATGCTGACTCCACGGCTAAGTACATACTTAAACTGGCCTTCACCAGGTAAGCTGGTTCAAGATAGTTGAACGAGATCACTTGTAACGAGAACAGAGAGCTATGGCGACGCGAAAAAATCAAATCATCTTTTCCCCCTGAACCGGTTCTCCATTAACATAGCGACTGGTATAATAACTGGGCGCTTTTTAATGGGGCTTCACGGGATTAGAATGGGCTATTACTCTAACGATTGCTGACGCCGCTGTAGGGACGAAGAAGAGAAAGAGACCATCAAGCACTACCTCTGCCACTGTCCAGCCTTGACGTCCGCACGACACAAGTTTCTTTGGAAACATTTTTTCGCCACTTCCCACTCGCCAGAAACTGTGTGAGCTGGGTAGGCAGTTTCAAATGCATCCGAGTTGCATACCGGACTTCGCACCAAGGGATTACAATCAGCTTCTGTCTGCAGCGAATGATTTGGCTGGTGAAGTATTGGCCTCAAGAGGAGCCTGTGAAATTCAAGGGCTTCCATGAGAGAGACCTAATATTATTACCTTCAAGGAGGTATCGAGCAAACCGGTGCATATTTGACATAAATCGGTTAATTCTAAGTCTGCTCAATTAAGCCTTCAATTAAGGCAGATATAATGGATCCCCTTTTACCAGACCACTAAGTCATGATTTATTCAAAAATGCTTTCTAAAGCTTCCAGCTGCCAGAATATTTTTGGCATTAAGATCTCCCGATACCCTTTTCCCATATCTATCCTCCTATGACCTTTTCCAATGATTTTAACATCCATTTCTTCCAATACTCACTTGTCTAAAATGGTTCTGGCATCCTTGATGCGGTCATATGTCTCTAACTCAATAAGCGCACGTGGATACGCATTGCAATATGTTGAGTAGCAGAGGAAACCCTTATGCTGTAAGGAAAATAAAGAAAAAAATGAGATCAAATTCAGAAATAACAAAAAAAAAAAAACATCGAGTCACACACCATTTTCAAAAACACCTTTGCGACCTGATTCTGTTCGATACCCTTGCGGAGAGCCTCTAGAAATTTACGTTGAAACTTATAAATCGCTGTGATATTCGAGAAAATCAAACGTATACTATTCGGCGAGAAGATATCAATACGTTTGCTCATCGCAGGCAGATAGCTAAGGAGGTAGACAAGGAATAGAGAAAAAAATAAGTTGAAAGTAAAAAAAAAAAATCTTTGAAACCACTCACCCCTCGCAAATAGCGGCCAGCAGTTTGACATAGTTCACCTCGGTGTCGAGCAGCTCCTTGACCGCGCTGCGACGCAACATATCCGCACTGTCCAGTATCACATTGATGCTGCGCGACGGTGCAAGCGCATTTGTCGCATTGGACGTATCCGCCGCAACACCGCCACCACCACCACCACCACCGCTCGAAGAGCTACTGTTGCCGGGCGCATTATTGGCGAGACTCGCATACGAAGGCGACTCAATCACAATTGTCGTAACATTATTCTCATCCACAATCGTGGCATCGAGATCGCAAACAACTGTTGTTGTGTCAGCCGCGCTGTCGGTCATTTGCAGCGATGTGGTTGAGTCTTCAGCTTTTGTCGTATTCTCAGTAAGTGTTGTATTTACTTCATCTGCCTTTAAGAGCTTCCTAAAGCTGCAACGCTTTGCGTCCGTCTCCGCTGTTGTGGCGTAAGTCGCAGACATTTGTGAAAGGAAAAACGCATCTGTCTTTGGACATTGTATGATGCGTACGAATTCCTTGGGGAACCAACCGAGTTCAGGGTCAAGTATCTCTTCGACTAGCGTGTTATTCTCCTCTTTACGTATGCGTCCAAACCACCAGGGACCGACCTCTTTGCGTAGAATTTCGATTAGTGTGCCACGTTCGAGGCCGAGCTCTTGTGGACCGGCCGCGGTGAAGCTATACAATACTTCTGCATAAATCGGATAATAGTTGGACGCTGCGAAAAAGGACGGAGAGAAAAGTGAGTTTGAGAGAAATTAATATGCGCAAAGAAGCTGCTTATTAAAGACGCAGACAGTCGCGAGGGCACTCTGGGTTAATTGAGTTTAATTGCTTGTTGCTGCCAGTTACGTCACCACCAACAACGAGCATCGCATTGGCATGGACATTGCGATGGGCCGAACGCACTGTTGCGCATAATAAATCACATACTGCTTTATATATAAGTCAACTCACCTTCTTCGTGCGACGTCACACTATCACTATCACTCTCGTCCATATCTGCGAAGCAAGGAAGAAGAAAAAGTTGAAAAAGTAGAAGAAGATGAAGAATATGGAATAAATCAAAGCATTAGCGCAGCAATCAAGTTTACTTCAAACAAATTACTCAGCTTCATTTTCCATCCTTTATAACTTACCGCCAGCTCGGCCAATACCGCAAGTATCCAGTCCGTTCGGTTGACTGAGGGAGCGCGCCGGAAGGGACTCTGGCGCCATGCGTTCCATGCTACCACCATAGATTTCCATGCGTTTGAGTATTTTTCCTTTGGCATTAATTGCTGCTGTGGCGGATTGCTCTGTGATGCTGGTGGCTTTGGCTGAGTTTGTGCGCCGCACTGAGCGCATTTTAAAAGTGACCTTGCAAGAAGAAGAGAAGACATTTAATCAAATGGTAATTAAGGTGAATTTCCAAAAGGGGTGAGGAGGTATGACGTTGAGTATAGCAAATCGCAAAGGACAAGTGTAGACTGAAGCATGTAAATGTTACAAAATCTTAAGGAGACGCTGCATTTAATTGAAAATTCATAACACAATCTTTGAAGCAGAATTTAATGTATTCAAGTCAAAACTCACAGCTTTGTGGTTGAAAGGAATAACGAAGGCTTCAAAATTGGATATTAAGAATCTCTTTAACTAAGCGAAAAGTGTTAGATCGCATTAAAATTAACGTCCAGCTGGCACTACAAAGTACTGACGGGCCTATGTATAGCGAGTTAGCCGCCCATTGTAACCTAACTTAACCTGACCTAAGTAAAAAACCCAACAGACCAACTCTACCAACTGAACCTTGAGAAAGAATCGTGGTTCTTACATCTACCTGCCAACAAAATGGAACTGGTTTGAAAACAAAAATCGGCTAAAAAAGATAAACTCGGAGAGAAGAGTAGAACACACGTCGGTTGAGCTCCTTTCTCTCGCTCTGGCTCCTTGCCTTTAAAAAATTCTCTTTTGATGGGGGCAGAAATTTGAGCAACCACACCTTTGAGTGGTGTATGAGTTAGGTAAGTCGGAAGTCTACTAAAAATACCACCAATATTGAGCGTTAAACCCTTGCTGAAAATACGTGGACAGCATTTATCAGAAATGGAAACGTAACAACGAGTGGTCTATACTTTGTCAGAGATCATTGCTTTCTGAAAGTGTTAAGGCTCTCGAAGGGCACGTATGGGCAGGCAGACAGTTGGAGGAAGTGGTGGTAGGTCTTTGAAATTTCATGAGGAGAGACTTAATATATACATATTCAATTGACGCTTTGCAACCGCTGAAGCGAATTTCGGTCGAGCTACTCCTACTGCTACTTTATATTTTTCTAACATATGGAGGGACCTACAGTTTATACTAGACCGCCTCCGAAAGGCTGATGGTTTTTTATAAGGAGCCTTTACTTCATGTCAGAAATACACTCCCTGCCGGCGGACGAATACAATTGGAAATTTCTACTTTTGAACCCGAGCCTACCGAATGGCAGAATGCGCTACTAACCACTCGGCTACCGCAGCCCGTAAAGACTTAATACCCTAAAGTTAAAGAGTGATCAAATACTATCTTCCGATCTGCTCTTTATCCCGATATTGGGACACCAAAAAGCCAACTAAAATTATTACTTACCTTCTCATTTGCATTACGTCGTTCCGTGGATCCGATCCGTCTAGTCACCGCTGCCGCACTCGTACTCGCCGCACCATTCGCCACGGCAATGGCGATGCGCGAGTATGGCTCATCATTGTCCAACTCGATTTGTATACCCGAATCACCGCTATTACATTTATCCCTCCGATTGCATTTCGTCTTGCGCCGCTCCTTCGATGAACGCCAAATAAGTGGACCAAAGCGATATTTACCCGTTGTACTTTCCGCAGCGACATCTGTTTGATTCTCATTTGCCAACGCATTGATACCACCAACGCTGCCACTAACGGGTAGAGTTGTGGTCGCTGAATTACTCAATGCAATCGTTTGTGTGCTGCTGCTGTTTACAATGTGTTGTTGTTGCTGCTGCTGCTGCTGTTGCTGCTGCTGCGCAGCTGGTTTATTGAAATTGGTGAGGGTGCGTTTGAATTTCTGCAATACACCAACACTTTGACTAGTCGGCAGACCAACTCCACTGCCACCCACCATGGGGCGAGCACTATTACTGCTGTTGTTGTTGCTGTTGCTGTTGCTGTTGCTGGCATTATTACTATTTGCTGTGGCCGTGACCATTGTTGGCGTCGACTCACCGGATGCACAAGAATCTGTTGAGTTCGCTTGGAAGTCCTTTAGTATCGTTTTAGTGCTAGCATTACCAGCGGAAGTGTCGTTGACTGCCTCCGCCTGTAAGGCGTCGGTGAGCGATGGACTAGAGATGGAGCGCATTTGATGAGTCTGCAAAAGAGAGAGAGAGAGAGAGAAGAGTGAGGGATTATTTGTGATTGCTGGGTCAATAGAAAATTTCACATAGATACAAACATACATATATATATAAATTTATATGCTAAAATATTAATATTTAAAAACACAAGAATGTGTGTAAATGTATATACTATATGTATTTATATATAATATGTTAATAAAATATTGTATGAAAATATTTTGGTATATTTTTTTTTTTGAACTTCATAAGAAATTCGCGTTGCTTCGAAAAACAATCGCGAAATAATTATCAGTTTTCCATATAAATAATTGTGGCTGAATTCCAATAATTTTTAAGCCACTTAAATATTGGCGCCGGTAAATAAATTTTTCAATGCATACATATATATATACGAGTAAGCATGTGGCCCAGCAGGAATTTGCACAAATTAAAAAATAAATAAAACTGATGAGCATTAATAAAGAAATAATAAATAAAAATAAAAAAAAATAATTTTTTTTAAGATTCTCGTAACTTATAAATTTTTCGAAAATTTAATGAGAATTTAAAAAAAATTAAAAATGTTGTTACAGTCGGTATAGAAAGGAAAATGAAAATTTGAATTTTTGAAAATGACCAAAAATCTTTTTGAGCAACCATTAAGCAATAATTTTATACCCAAAAATTCTAAATATTCCTTGAAGCATATCCTTGATCCAGTAGATGTTATGCGAGAAAATATATATTTTTTGAATTCTTGGTACATTTTTTAGTTTTTTCATAAAAGTAAAATATAGGGTCTTGCATTAAGTGATGTTATTTTGATACACAAAGAAACGTCTGCCTTAAAATATCGATATTTTTGATGCTTGTGTGGCACGTCGCGCCGTCTTGTTGAAAGTACGCGTTGTCCAAATAAATATCATTCAATTTCGGTCATAAAAAATGACTAATTAATCAAATGATCCCGCCGAACCATGTCTATGATGGAGAGGCTTTTCAATAAAAAATCTTGTGCTTTCCGATACCTAAACGCGACAGTTTTGCTCATTGACGTAGCCAACGAGTTGGAAATCGGCCACTATCAGTCAGGATGGTTTTTCGATAAAAATTTTATATTGAATTTTTGTAATTTCAATGCGTTGCTGAAGCCTGTTTCGTACCATTCAAATTAGTTCTGTTCGGCGACAATAACAATTTTTACTGCAATTTACTAAATCGCCTTCGTTGAGCCGAAAACCCAACAAAATTCGTAACGAGAGAGCGCAATTTTGACGTTTAGTTTGGAGGAAGAGAGTTTCAAATTCGTGCTGGTAGAATTGCAGCCATAAAACGTAACAAAAACCGCTGATTTGTGATCAAATGTTTAAGGGCTCACATAGGTCTTGAAGACCGAAAAAAAGCTTATTTTTTATAATTTTTTTTTAAAAGATACAAATAAAATATGCAATTTATTTTGTTTACATATAAAAGTACAATATATGGAGAATATTTGTTGAAAATTTGAATGAGAAATAGTTTAAGTTAAGGCATTGGGAGTGTCGGGAAGTAGACCGTCCACAAGAAAGTGCTTATGCGGTAGTCATGATAACTTTTTCAATTTTTAGTTGAAATCAAAAATACAAAATTTTTTTCTTAAAGTAGGTGAATTTTCTTTGTCCCTGAACGAAGAAAGATTTAAAAAATTATAAATTGTATTTTTTGTAGCGTTTTTTTACAACAAAAGTTTTTTTTTTGCATAATATTAGGTCACATATCGGCTTGTAAAATGAGTTCAAATCAAAGATAAAATAAATCCTACGTTCAGAGTCTACAAAAAGATGCTTAAAAGAAGTGTGGAAAATTTGAACTCGATCGGTCGTTGAGGAATTTTGACTACCGATTTCGATAAAGTAGTTTTAAGAAAAACGCGTTTAAAGTGCCGCCATCGGTCGAGCCACGACAAAGACGGCGGCTTATAAAACTCTCTAATTTTTACAGTTTCGTCTCGGTCGACTAAAAACTTGGAGAAAATATTCCTAAAACTTTGTACTTTTATACAATAAATTATCAAAAAAAATAAATTAATTTTTCAAGTTTCAAGACCTACACGTATGTAACCCCTTAAATTACTGTCAACAATTTTTTTGAATGAAAATAATATTAGTTCTTTAATATATATGACATAATTTAAAAAGTAAGTGAACATATATAATTTAGCTGAAGTATCGACGATTCAATTGAATAGTTAGGCTACCCGTTAAATGAGAATGTGGCGGCAATGGAGTGGAATTATCGCACGCGACATCAGAAGAAGCGGTCGATGTGTTCAGAGAACACAAGTTTTGGAGATATCTCAATCATGGTGGCAAAAGTGCTACGCATGCAAAGGTGAATAGATCTTAATATAGAATATTTTGAAAATTAATAAAATGATTTTCAATGATTAATCTGTTTGTTTTCTCATACCGAAATATAAAATATACTAAAGTGTGTAATCGTTTAGTAATGCATTTGGTAACGCATGCTACGTTATTGTGTCTTAAAAGAACACGCTGTTTGAAATATTATCCTTTCAATAAAAATTGTTGCTGTAAAAAATTATTTAAAAATATGTTCTTTTTGAACCTTGCAACTGTGTAAAAAGCCTTAAAAAAGCATTTTTAAAAAATTCCATTTATTTCACAGCTATTTTATTTATGACTAACCTGATTCCTACTGGGTAGCATACCATTATGTACGTAGCCCAACATACGTTGCTTATCAATTGTAAATGTCATAAATACCAGTGCAATTAATTACGAAATTCCCACAGTGCCACGCTTTGGTATGAACGCACGTACATATATTCATATATATGTACATGTGTATGATAATATAAAATTTGTTTTGCTATATTTTTTGAGTACATATTTAACATTTATATGTTTTTAAATATTATTCTGTTTATAAATGTATTTTTAAATACTGAAAAATACATACATTTTAATATACGTGTATGTACGTGAGGATAAGCAAAAGTTCGGTCAGTTGGTGAGTTTCAAATTGTTTTTGTTAAAACTAAAAATACGAAATCCTTTGCAATCATTTTATTAGTCTTTTTTTCAAATTTTGAAACGATTGGTTGAAATGGAGACGAGCAAACGTAAGATAGCTGAGGATAGCTCAGACGAAATTCCACCACAAAAGCAAACAGAAATTCACCATGTGAATCTCTTCGAGTTTCGGCGTAATTTACAGCCCAAACTAATACTCAGTGAATGCCGAATTGCATATGGTACGATTGCACCATCTTTAAAGACTATTTCTAAACTGTACCGAAGGTTTCAGACTGAACACTTTTCCGTAAAGGACCAGCGCCGAAAAGCTCGACCAAAATCATCCACTGTTGACGTCACTGTAATCCTGATGAAGTCCAAAATTGGCGAAGACCCACGATTGACACCAGAAATTATTGGTAATGAATTGGGCATAAGTGCCATGGCTGTGCCACTAATGTTAAGTAATCATCTGGGATATACGAAGAAATCTGCTCGATGCGTACCAAGAATTTTAAATGAGGCCCAAAATAAGGCTCGATTACATTTTTCTCGATTTTTCTTAAACAAGCTCGAAAATGGTCAGTATAGCAACTTGAGTCAATTCGTTACTGGTGACGAGTCTTGGTGCTAAAAGTAAGATCCAGAAACTAAACAGCAGTCCATGGTATGGAGCCCAACAAGAACAACCCACTCGTAAAATCTAAGCAACAAAAATCAGCAGCAGAAGTAATGATGTCAGTTTACTTCGACCGATCTAAAATCGTTGCTGCTATTCCACTGGAACAGGGTCAGATAGTCAGACGACAACTGCAAAATGGTACATCGAAGAGTGCTTACCAAAAGTTTTCAAAAATTTTGTTGGTAAATAGGAAGAAAGAGGATTTGCGGCGTTCCTTTTTTCATCATGGCAACGTGCCATCCCACACTGCTGAAATAACGAGTAATTTTATTGCGATCTCTGGGAGCGAAGAAATACGTCCAGCATATCATATTCCCCGGATATAGCACCTTGTGATTTCTAGTTATTTCCAAAAACTAAAAAATAATTTAATTAGAAAGATCTTAAGAGCTACGAGGAGATAATTCATGCGGTTAATGCTGAACTTGATAAGCTTAAATGGCAAGATTTTGCAGACTGTCTTCAGAAGTGAATCTATCGGCTTAAGAAATGCATTGAAATCAATGACGACTTTTCGGCCGAGCTCCTCCTCCAATTTTTAGTTTTGCGTCTTGATGTTTTTCCAACAAATGGAGGGACCTACAGTTTATGCTAAACCGCCTCCGAAAGGCTGATAGTTTTTTATGAAGAGCCTTTAATTCATGTCCGAAATACACTCGGAGAGGTTGAAATTCCCTGTAGAGGGGCAACAGCAAATAAAAAATTTAACATAATTTTTTATTTAAATTAATTTTCCATTATTTTTGGATGTTGGTCGTACCAGTATTGGAATCCGAGGCTTCCGAATGGCTACCGCGGCCGCGATTATATAAATATAAAAATCATTTTTTGTTTCTGGTCAACTTATCGAACTTTTGTTATTCCCCTCGCACACATTATATTACATATTTTATTTATACTCATACTTGAGTCAACCATAATTCAAAGTTCTATGGGAAAAGTAAAATTTTTGATAAAAATTACATACATATAAACGAGTGTGTATAACAATAATTTTATAGGCAAGCAAGGTGTCATAAAGAAATAATCAACACAGGTACATAGTGGCATATACTTTGCTATATTATGTACATACATATGTAAATGTCATGTAGAAATTTGTACAAATCATCATTAGTCAAAGTTTTATGCAGTCCCCACACTCAAAGGAATATGTGAAACTCATTTATCATTCCGATTTAAGTATTTGATACTTTTTTGAAATGGAATTCTAAGAGCAGGGAAAACAATGTTGTGTGCAAAGAATGTTTTTTTTTTAACTTCTTTGGAGTTGGTCTTGTTTACGGCTGTTACACGGTCGACATAATCGCCCAGCAGAGTCTATAACTCGAGA